TCAACAAATATGATTTTTGATGTGCCGAATGTTAAAAACTAAACAAGGAAAACTTAGCGTAGAATAGTGTGTTGCCATTATATTTCTGGATTAATTGATCATAAACTTGAGAAACGTGAACTTCCCCCAAATGAGTATATAATAAAAATAGGAATAGATAGGGGTTGGAGGCTTTTTCAAGATCTGCATGAACATAATTAATTGCCAAAATAACCAAGAAAAACAAAAAATTTACTGTTATAAAGAGACTTGTTCTCATAACATTTCAAGATTATGGTGTAAAGAAACTTATAATTTTGGCTATTGTTTATTTAGTGTAAAGAAACATAATTTTGGCTATTGTTTATTTAGTGTAAAGAAACATAATTTTGGCTATTGTTCAATCTGGTACAAAACTTCAAAGAATGGTTTTGGAAATCCATACTTGACTGGATAGTTACAAACACTTGGGATGATTAGATCAAATGCTTAAAACTATAAAATAGCCTTGGAGTTCATACAAAAGTTGGTTGAGCCTCCCTTTGATCAAAACTTGTTTTTGATTTCCTGCCTGTCAAGGAATTGCACATGGCTCTTGGAATTACCAACTGCTTTTTTGATCACTTGAACACTTTCTTGAATTAGATAGTTTCTTTTTTCTTTAAAGCTACTAACTGGTCAAGCAAATTGGGCATCCAAAGGCCTCCAATGCATGGAGGGAATTCAATGGTAATCAATGTCAAAAACTCTTGAACAAATTTAACTTAGTTTTAAAATTAGAACAAAAATAATTTCTGCTTTTAGAACTTTTGATAAAGTTTGTAAAATCTTTGGCAATGGTCCCAAGTACAAGTCATCTCTTAATTTGAAATTGCATACAAAGATATTAAAATTTCAATCACTTCAAATGTGCATACTTTTATCCTGCACATAACAAAATTTTTTAAAAATCAGTTTGAAAAGCATGACACTGAGTAGAAAAACAAAATCTCAAATACTCAGAAGAATTTTTCAAAAAGACTTGGGTTTTATAGTGACAAGCATCAGAATCCGTTCATTAAAATTTTATTAGGCTATGAGAATTTGGTGCCAACAAATGAGATCCCATAGGAATACAGCATGAAACTTAAAAACTGTGTAATTATTTATTTTGTTCAAGACATATATAAAGAATGAGAAGAATAAATAGCAACTGAATGAATATTTAATGATAAATACATTTAATGTATTCTTGATTCGAAGAATCTGTTAAACTTATAGACATTTTTTTTTTTTTTTTTTTTTCGTTTAAACTGCTAGAATACATCATTACACAAAATATTAAAATGAAAAATTTAATTTAAAACTGTATAAAAAAAATAGGCATAAGTAAAAATTAGCATAAGTGAAACAATAAAGTTTGCAAACATTGGCATAAGTGTGAATTGACATAAGTGCAAATCCTATGTGGAATACCAATGTTTTCAAATTTTTTCGGCGCATTAATACCTTTCGCACTTGTGCCAGTTTGCACATTCGCAGATTCGCTGTAATGAAATATGTATCAATTCAAAAACTTTATTGGTATTCGCATACCAATGAAGTGTATCATCAATTAAAGAAAAGTTGGTTATAAAATTATTATTAATCATTAGAATTATAGGATGACTATTTCTGCCCCTTGGTTTGGTGCCAATTACGTCTTTAATAACGTTTTAATAACCTCAAAAACAGAGAAAATAATGAATTATATTAACTCACGTTACTGTAAATATAGTAGTAATTTTGGAAATGTTGGACTTTTTAAGTATTTTTTTAAACGTGTTCTTTTACTTAAATATATATTATTTTAAATACTGCACTTCGCTTTTAAATCGTAAACTTTACTGAGTAAAAAATTTATTACGTATTAGTAGTGTTTACTACGTATTAGTAGTGTTTACTACGTATTAGTAGTGTTTATAGCGTATTAGTAGTGTTTACTACGTATTAGTAGTGTTTACTACGTATTAGTAGTGTTTACTACGTATTAGTAGTGTTTACTACGTATTAGTAGTGTTTATAGCGTATTAGTAGTGTTTACTACGTATTAGTAGTGTTTACTACGTATTAGTAGTGTTTACTACGTATTAGTAGTGTTTACTACGTATTAGTAGTGTTTACTACGTATTAGTAGTGTTTAACATCACTAAAAAGTATTATTTAATTCTTATATTTGATAAAATAGGAAATTTATCGATTTTGTGACGTTTTGTTACAAGAGGTAGGGGTATTTCATTTTGTAACGCAACATTCTTTTTAGTTTCTGTTCTAGAGAAACTTTCCTTTTGATTAATAGAGCGCTTAGTCAACATAAAACCTCAGTTGATATATGCAGAGTAAAGATACCGATTATGGAATAGTAAAGCAATGTGGAATACTGGTGTTTTTCAGAAACTATTAGAGGTATCTACATTCCTTAAAATTTACATTCTATTACAATCAGCATTCCTTAAAATATCGCATAATGTCTTATTTGGTGTTTATAGTTTTTTTTTTCTATGCACACAAACTTTATTGTGATTTTTTAGTTCAATTTTATTATTTGAGGTATATAAACAGAAATTTTACCTTATTATGCTATAAACTAATTAGTTATCTTACTTAGTTAACACTTCGTTTATCTATTAAAAATGTTTTTGCTAGAATAAATAGAAATACGAATAGAAAGGAAAGGAAGGTGAGTATTTCACATTGATGAACAATGGTCAATACTTATGATTCTGATTAAATTAAGTTTACACATTCCGTTTTATTGTTTCTATTGGAGAATATGTTAATATATTGGAGAATATGTTAATATCTTGGAGAAATATTCCACATTAAGTAGTTTAAGTATTGCATATTATGAGACCAAAAAAGGCATAAATGAAAAGGTTTTTTTAATAAAGGTATTAAAATCAACTTTTTTTTACGCTTAAAACTGCCTTAAACAATTAAACAATTAACAAATTTTTAAATAAATTTTTATAAAGACTACTTTTAATATAACGTAATACTTACGTAATACTTAATACCTAATAATAATGTTTATTTAGTTGCTTTGTTCTTACATTCCACTTTTGATAAAATTATATTGTTTTATTCTTACATTACATTTTTTATAAAATAAAAATTACACAATCGCCACCTTTACTATACGCTCGACTACGATTATTCCAACTTAACTTAAATTAGAATTGACTTTTTAAGTTGATTAGGGGTTAAAAATGTTAAAATTGAACAAGCGCATTGCTGAGTAAAGATGCAAAAAAAGCGGTCATGATAGAACTTTAAGATTACAAATATTAAAATTTTTTTTAAATTCTTATAAGTTAAAGGGAGAAAGTATCTACATTAACGAAGATTTTTGCTATGAACAAAAAAAGATTAGTGATAAAGAATGAAAAGAATGAAAGGCAGCTCGGAAAATGTGAATATATATCTTATGGTAAGTGTACGTGTTAATCGTACGCGATTGAGTATCAAAAAACCGTGCCAAGAAAGCTAGAATCAAGGTGGTGGGCTGCTAAAAAAAAAATTTTTTTATCAGTTATATCTATAATTTTGTTTTACTGGTTTTTCTTTTAATTATTCTTAACTTTTTTTTTTTTTTTCTTTTTTAGGTTTACACAAAATCCCCGTTGCAAGCTTTTTTTGTTGTTTGAGAGGTAACTTTCAAACATTTTTTATTTTATTTTAAAACATTTCTTTCATAACTTTCAAACATTTATGAGCGTATGTTTTTGTCAAGTAAAAAACCTTTTGTAAAAAATTGAGATAACCGGAACCTGGGAACAAATAAAGCTCTAAACTTTTTGCCCCCCCCTGCCCTTAACGAGAGAGCAACAAGTTTATAAAATATTTTTTTTACTATTCATTACTAATATTCATTGAAAAATTTTAAATTTTATACAATAATCTCTTAGTGTTCAAAAATTATGACAATATAAAGTTTGAACTCCCCTCAATTTGAGGAGCCTGTAAACTTTGCATGGTCATAAAATTGAAAACTTTAAAATTTTTGCTTGAAATTTGAAATTTGTCGATGAATATAAATTTAGTTATAATTGTAAAAATAATAGTTAACGAACTCGTTGCTCTCACGTTAAGGGCAGGGAAAGGGCAAAGAGTTTAGAGCTTTATTTGTTCCCAGGCTCCGGCCATCTCAATTTTTAAAAAATGTTCCTTGTTTGACATAATTTTAAACTTATAAATGTTTGGAGTGGGCTCCATGTCTGAAAATTACCTATTTCAAACAACAAAAAAAGCTTTCTATAGGCCTTTTTTTATATATAAAATAAAATAAATATCTTTATTTTATTTTATATATAAAAAAAGAATAAATAAAAAATAACATGGAGGAAAACCTAATAATGATAAAAATTTCATTCTCGGTGACTACAATGACTTTGATAATTTTAGTCAACAAGTATTTGAAAACCATACTATACAGTTTTTGCATCTTTCCAATATATACATAAATATGAATATTTTTTTTTTTTTTTTTTGATTTTAAACATTAATATTGGAAACATAAACAAATTTTTTGAAATTTTTGAGTTTTTGTTGGATGTGTTAAAACATGTCTAACGGAAACTTGGTATAAGTGTAGTGAAAGAAATGCGCAATTCGAACTAATTAATTACAAATCAGTTCACTAATAACGTAATTTCGGTGTTGGTTGGGGACGTAAGTATTTTTATCCACAACTCAATTAGTTATAACTTACGTTACGATCTATGTTTGTATGAAATAGAGTTATTATTCATTGAACTAATGAATAAAAACACAAAAACTATATAATTATAAATGCAGCATAAGGACCACCATCGGGTAATTTCAAAAACTTTCAAACTCATCATAAAATATATCAATAAAATATATCAATAAAAAAAATTTAAAAAACTATATAAAATATATCTATAAAACGCAAAATCATGTTTTTTTGTTTGGGGAAATAAACATTGACCTAAAAAAACATAGTTTAAAAAAAAATGATTAAAATTTTATAAACACTCTTC